GTTTATTAGTTGGTAGAGTGGAGGCTTGTGTCCCCACTCAGTGACATTCTTGACCTTGAGAGCTGCTAGAATTACTAGTACAGCTTGGTTTGGAAGGGCCCTTAATAACCATCTTGTTACAACCCCTTGCCATGGGCAGGGAACTCTCCCTAGGCCAGGTTGTGCAAAGCCCCATCCAACCTGGTCTTGAACACTTCCAGGCATGAAAGTTTAAAGCCATTCCCCCTTTCCTATCACTATATGCCCTTGTAAAAAGTCCTCTTCATCTCTCTTGTAGCCCTTTTGGGCGCTGCAAGGCTGCTAGAAAGTCTCCTCAAAGCTGTCTCTTCTCCAGACTGAACAACCCCAGCTTCCTGTTTTCATAGGAGAGGTGCTCCAGCCTTCTGATCATCCTTGTGACCTCCTCTGGACTCCCTCCAACAGATCCACATCCTTCTCATGTTGGGGGCCTCAAAGCCAGACATAGTACTCTAGGTAGGGTCTCACTAGAGCAGAGGGGCAGAATCACCTCCCTCAACCTGCTGACCATGCTGCTTTTGATGCAGCCCAGAACACATTTGACTTTCTGGGCTGCCAGCACACACTGCTGGCTCATATCAAGCTTCTCACTCACCAACACCCCAAGTCCTTCTCCTCAGAGCTGCTCTCAGTCCATTCTCCACACAGCCCCTATTTGTGCTTGGGATTGCCCCTGGCCAGGTGCAGGACCTTGCACTTGGCCTTGTGGAACTTCATGAGTTTTGCCTGGGGCCACCTCTCCAGCCTGTCAAGGTCCCTTGGGATGGCATCCTGTCTCTCCAGTGTGTTCACCACACCACACAGTTTGATGTCATTGGCAAACCACCATGTCCATGTCACCTACAAACATTTTGAACAACTTCTTTTATAGCTATGCCTTCTGTTTCCTTTTGGATAGGAAGTGTTTGTAAACATGTATTTTTGCCACGTGAAATTACTTTGGTTGCATAATGAGTACAAGTTTACAGCAGAGCAGGCTAAGGTCAAATTTACACGCTGCTTTTGAAAGTACATCTGGCATTAGAAAAGCTGAGGATGCTGCAAGCTGAAGAAAAAGCTTCCCCTCACTTCCATTCACTTTGCTGAGTGATGTTCCATCAGGGCTCATTTCATAGAACCATTTAGGTTGGAAAAGACCTTTAAGACCGAGTCCAACCCAGCACTGCCACGTCCACTACTAAACCATGTTCCTAAATGCCACATCCACGTGTCTTTTAAATGCCTCCAGGGATGGTGACTCAACCACTTCCCTGGGCAGCCTGTTCCAGTGCTTGACAACCCTTTTGGTGAAGAAAGTTTCCTAATATCCACTCTATATCTTCCCTGGTGTAACTCATCCTGTTGCCTGATACTTGGGAAGAGACTGGCCCCCACCTCACAGCCTCCTTTCAGGTAGTTGTAGAGGGCAATAAAATCTTCCCTGAGCCTACTTTTCTCCAGGCTAAACACCCCAGCTCCCTCAGCCACTCTTCATCAGACTTGTGCTCCAGTCCCTTCCCCAGCTCCGTTGCCCTTCTCTGGACACGTTCCAGGACCTCAATGTCTTTCTTGTAGTGAGGACCCCAAACTGAACAGAGGATTCGAGCTGTGTCCTCACTAATGCCAGATACAGGGGCACTTGCCCAGCTTTAGCGCGGCTCCTTTTCCTCGCTGGGGTGTTACTCAACCCTGTTGCACCGTGCCCGGTGGGGCAGTCCCCGCCGCGTTTGTGTCCCCTGCAGACGCAGGGACCGATCCCGCTCTCCGCTCGCCGCTGGGGAACCGCCAGGTCCGTCCTCCCGCAGCGCATCCTGGTTCGCCGGGCGGGACGGTGAGATGCGGCGGGATGCGCGGGCAGCGGGGACCCCTAGTGGTACCGCGGCCCGGCCGGGAGAGGTTTTAGGTCCTGCTGCTTGGTGTAGGTGCCTGGTGAAATGCTTGTGGAAAAAGTGGAATCTGTCTCTTTGGACCATGCGGTCTGCTTTGTTCAAAAGAGGGAAGAAACAAGTTCAGTGGGAGTGAAAGCAAAAACCGGAGTCTGCAAAGTAAGCCTCTTTGCAGGTGATAAACACTTGTTATTTACCCTATTTGAGTCTTACAGACTGAGACTAAAAAAGGGAGAGCAACAGTTAGAGAGGAAAAGGTAAATGATGAAACGGGATGCATTCAATCCAACAAAGGCCTCACCTGAGTGTCCTGTGTCTGATACAGACATTAAGCAGTTGGCAACGAAAGCACTTAAGATACTCCAGATACTCTTCTGGCCTCAAAATTTTCAGTTCATCCTAGGCCACATGCTGGTGTATGACCAGACATGCCTTTTACCCATAGGGTGCAGTGGTGCGGTGCAGTGCAGTGGCTGGCCCCAAGAGAGGGAGGCTCATCCCTCTGTCCTGTTCCATTCCATCCCATCCCATCCCATCCTATACTGTCCTTGGCATGCACCTGCCCAGGTGTGTCATGAAGCCACCAAGACTGTGTCAGGAAATCAAGCTGCTCCTTGCCCTCCTGCTGCGGGAGCTCCTTCCCCTCCAGGCTGTCCTGCTGCCATGGCAGAGCATCTTTGCTCCACAGAGCCCTGAGGTTGGGGAGGGTCTGGCCACTCCTCTCCAGCCCCTGCGGAGGCTCCATCTTGTTTGGCACAATGGTTGGGTGGTTCCTGGTGCCCTGCAAGCTCTGTTGGCTGGGGAGCAGTGGCAGCCTGTCCCCATGGAGGGATGAGGCCTGGCCCAGGCTCTCCTGAGGTGCTGCATGTTGCTGCCTGTGGCCCAATCAGGATCCAATATGTGATTCTATGGCTAATTTCAAAACATTTTGGGCCTGCATCCAACAGACACAGTATTATGGAATCCCTCACACCCACTACCCATTAAAGAAGACTCCGATCCTTGGGATTCATGGGATGGGGACAGTAACAAATGAGAATTGGGTTAATAATTGCAACTAGATTTGCATTTTTAATGATTGGGATAGTTACTATGCACTGTATGATCACTCATTTTATTGCTTCTCCTGTTCCTGTCTTTTCTTTCTATCAATCTTCATCATCTTCACGGACAACTCGTAAACTGAGGAAGCATTCCTAGGAAAGAAACACTTTGTTAAAATGCTTAAGCCATAGGGTGGTGTGAGAGACTGAAATGTTACAGTTAATGGCTTAAACACTATTAAAATCACCAAAGGAATTTTGTCCACTGTAGCAAACTATGCAGAGAGAAACTGCTCATCTTCGACCGCCAAAGCCCACCCTCCCCAAATATGCCTTCTGAGGGGAACTGGTCTGTGAGTTAAGCCACCTAAAGGGAACTTGAGATAAGATAAAGGTGGTACTATTGTCCAGATATCTCAGATCTAAAGGGAAGTACACAAGCCTGTGGGGATAAGAATGTATCTACTAAGAAAGCCATTCTCAGCAGCCATGTTGAAAATCAGCTCTGGCTGATTTTGGTGGGCAGGGGGAGGCTCAAACTCTGCAAAGACAGGATGGTGCTGTTTCTAGTGGCAGTTATCCTCTGCTCAGTTGTAAAACTCTCCCCCTGCCCCCGGGGAAGGTCTGATGGGGTATTACTGGCTCAACTGTGCTGACAACATGAGAGGCAGCTGAGCAGGGGTCATAAACCATCAAAGACCCCCAAGTGCCTCCCAGACCTATTCCCGAGGCCTTCCACCATGACCCAAAAAGTGTTGCAACAGATCCAAAGTCTGATGAAAGAGACAGTGTAAACCCCCCTGTAGGGGAGATGCCAGGGCCTTCCCACCTGAACCTAAAGGTATTGTGTTTCAAGGGCTTCTTCCCCCACCATCCAATGGATCCAGACTGCAACCATCACTTCAACCATCAGACAACTAAATTGCAACTATCAAGGCTCATCACAGATCCATAGGTGGTGATTGTGAACTCTTTTCTCTCTCTTTCTTTCTCCCTTTCTTTCTTTTCCTTTATACATTTTCTTGAGTAATATTTTTATGCTTTCATATTGCTATATTACTGTGGATAATAATAACCAAAATATCTACATATCTGATTTCCATTGCAACCAAATTCTTCTAAAATAAACCCTATATATATATATATATATATATATTTACAAACATTGATTGTTCAGTGTCATTTCACTCTAATCCTCCCCAAGAGATCTATTAGCAAGAACCTCAGTTACTCTCACCCAGGTTGTAACAGACAGGGCTGCAGGAGGTGATGGCGCAGCAGTGGTGTGGTGCAGTGGTTGGTCCAAGGCAGAGGGAGGCTCATTCCCTCCTCCCATCCTGTCCTTAGCACTCACCTGACCGGCTGTGTTATTGAGCAGCTGAGACCAGCTGAGACCATGTCAGGGCTGCAAGCCGCTCCACACATCCCTGCTGCACGAGTTCTCCTCCAGCGTGCCCTGCTGCCACTGCAGGAAGGCATTCCTCCGTGGAGCCCTTTGCCTGGGGCGAGCCCGGCCTCTCCTTTCCAGCCCCTGTGGAGGGTGCCTCCCAGCATCCTGCAAGCCCTGTGGGCAGGGAATTAGTGGTATCCTGTCCCCACGGAGGGATGAGGCCTTGTGCTGGTTGTCCTGAGGTGCTGCATCTTGCTGCCTGTGGCCCACCTGTGGGAAGGAAGAGGAGAAGGAGGCATGAGATGGAGGCAGCTGCCTTGGCACAGTGTCACCCCAGTGCCAGCAAGCCCTGCCCTTGCCCCAAGGCAGCTCCATGTGGCCTCATCCCACAGGCCTCTCCTTCCTGCCATGTCCCACACCTGACACCTCTTCTCCAGGCTCAGCAGCCCCTTGCAGGTCTGGGACTTGGTGTTCTCCAAAAGATTCTCCATGTCTGTCTTTGACATTCTGTGCCACAGACATGCCAAAGCACCCAGGGGAGATGCTGCCTCCTGCGGGAGCTGCTCTCCTGGCACTGGGCAGCCCAGGGCTCCTTCAATCCCCTTTGTGATGCAGGACAAGGCAGTCCTGCATCACAAAGCCCTGACAGCTCACCCCACACTCTGCTGCCAGTGCAGGTGTTCCGTGGCAGAGACAAGAAACTTCAGAAAAACCTTCTAGGCCTTCATTCCTATAGCTCAACCAGATAGAAGGACTATAAGAAAGAGAGCTCTTCTAGCTGCAGGAGCTTTGGCCTGCTCAGAGGAAATAAAAAATATCCTCTGAAATTTAAACGGGGACTATATCTCCCCTTTTTGTGTTTGAATACCTTTTTTGAATGTGCACAACTGTCCTGATTCCTGCCATGAAAGGCTTAGTTTTTTTCCATTAGCCATGAAGTGGTGTAGTTGAGGAGACGTGGCCATAGCCTGATGTTATTTGGTACCCCCTCACATCATTGCCAGTGCTGGTGGCAAGTGACTCGCTGACTTCCAAGAAAAAGGATATGGCTTCTGGTTGAAAAAGCAGGGGAAGATTGTTCAGTGAAACCCTGGGTCTGCAGATCTAAGAAACTACAGAAAACCATTCTATTTTATTATTCTTATATCTTAGACAGATATAAGTACCAGAGGAATGAGAGCTCTTCTACCTGCAGTAGCTGTCACCTGCTTAGAGGTAATAAAAATGCCCTCTGGAATTTACAAATGGACTTCATATCAGCATTTCATATTTGAATCCATTTGTTCGTATGCACACAACTCAGGAATTTCAGTGATACTGAAGCTTTTATTGAAAAAAAATTAAAATCTATTGATGCCTATCTATTTATCTATCTACCTGTCTATTATCTATCTATTTATCTATTATCTATTATCTATCTATCTTATAATCTATATAATCTATCTATCTATTGTCAAACTATGATAAAAATGTGAACCAGCCTCAGTCCTAAGGTGTCTTTAGGGGAATCATAGGCTGGTCACAGGAATCACTGGGTAAGCCCAGTCCGGCAGGGTGCGCTTGGGGCAGCAGCCCAATGCCTGAGGCGCTGTCCCTGCAGCCATGGCCGGGGTGCCTCCCTGTGCCGCGCTCTCAGCCAGATGCTGCTGAGGCTCAGCACGGTCACCTCCAGGCACCTTCCTGCCAGGCTCTGGCAGCCCGGCGCTGCTGCTCCTGCTCTGCTGGCACACAGGTTCCAAGGAACAGCCTGCGCACAGCCCTCAGCACCCTCCTGAACAGGGAGCGTTGGTGCTGTTGCTCCGGGCGGTGAGTAGCCGTGGGAGAAGGAGCTCCATGGCCAAGGGGCTGTGCGGGCAACAGGTAAGCTCCTGCCTGCAGCGCCGGCGCCAAGGGCTCTTCCCAGGGAAGAATGGGCAGTGCATAGCCAGTGATGGTGGTTGTGGCGGTGCCGGCCTGGCCTGGCTGCTGCTCTCCGGGATGGCTGGGCCAGGCCTGCCCCCACTGGGGCAGCACTGGACTTTGGGATGTGGCTGGCTCATCCTCGGTGTTGTTGGGACCAGGTGGAGCTGGAGACACTGGATGTTCGAGGTCCTCTTGCCGCAGCCCACGGGACAGCCCTTTGTCAATCGTGTAGTCCCAGTCTTCCCCCTTCGTGGTCAAGGCCCAGGTCTCAGTGGGGAAATGGGCTTCAAGCCATTCCAGCACCTTCTGCTGGCCTAGGATGGCTTCAAGTCCCTCCAGTCCTGTCAACTCTGGCTTCTGAATGTCCAACTTTGGGTTTCCCTGGCAGATGAGAAAGGAGAGAGGGACATTTCTTGAGGAGATCTCCCTCAACATGAAGAGGATGAACTTCTCAACACTGAAGGCAGCAGAGCACTGGCACAGGCTGCCCAGGAAGGTGCTGGAATCTCTGTCTCTGGAGGCATTCCAAAGCTCCCTGGATGCATTGCTGTGTGACGTGCCTCAGGTGAACCTGGCATGGCAGGGAGGTTGGAGTGGATGATCTCCAGAGGGCCCTTGCAACCCTAAGGATTCTGTGGTTCTGTGCTTTGTCAAGGTCTCCTGCTTCCCCCCAGCATATGCGTGCTGGGCACCTAGCAGCAGGAGCTGCTGGGACAGGGCTGTGGGAGATGATGGGGCTGCAGCGGTGCAGTGCAGTGGCTGGGCTCAGGAGAGGGCGGCTCACCCCTGTGTCCCTTTTAATGCCATCCCATCCCATCCTCAGCAATTACCTGCCTGGCTCTGCCATCAAGCCATATCAGGGAAGCAAGATGGTCCTGGCCCTCCTGCTGTGGGAGCTCCTTCTCCTCCAGGCTGTCCTGCTGCCATGGCAGGTTGGCTTTGCCACATGAAGCCCTGAGCTTGGGGCGGGACTGGCGGCTCCTCTCTAACCCCTGCGGAGGCTCCATCTTGCTGGGCACAGTGGTTGGGTGGCTCCTGGTGCCCTGCAAGCTCTGTTGGCCAGGGAGTGGTGGCAGCCTGTCCCCATGGAGGGACGAGGCCTGGCCCAGGCTCTCCTCAGGTGCTGCATGTTGCTGGGTGTTGCTCACCTGCGGGAAGGAAAGGGAGGAGGTGGTATGGCACAGAGGCAGCTGCCTTGGCACAGCATCCCCCAATACCAGCAAGCCCTGTCCCAACCCTTTCCCACCAGCAGCCTCTCCCTCTTGCCCCATCCCTCACTTGGTGCCTTGTCTCCAGGCTCTCCTCACGCAGCTGGGAATTTGCATTCTCACAGACCTTCTCCATGTCTGTCTTTGGAATCCTCTGGCACAGATGTGCCAAAGCACCCAGGGGAGATGCTGCCTCCTGTGGGAGCTGCTCTCCTGGCACTGGGCAGCCCAGGGCTCCTTCAATCCCCCCACGGCCAGGGGGGCTCGCCACCATGTCACAGTGGTCTCTGAGCACAAGGCAGCCCTGCATCACAAAGCCCTGACAGCTCACCCCACACTCTGCTGTGAGTGCATCTGTTCCATGGCAGATATGAGAAACTTTAGAAAAACCTTCTAGGCCTTCATTCCTATAGCTCAATCAGATAGAACAACTATAAGCTGCTGGGACAGGGCTGTGGGAGATGATGGGGCTGCAGCAGTGCAATGCAGCAGGTAGCCCCAGGCAGAGGGAGGCTCATACCCCTGTTTCATCTGATGCCATCCCATCCTGTCCAGATCTGTCATCAAGCCATGTCAGGGAGCAAGGTGGTTCTTGTCCTCCTGCTGTGAGACCTCCTTCCCCTCCAGGCTGTCCTGCTGCCATGGCAGGGCATCTTTGCTCCACAGAGCCCTGAGCTTCAGGCGGGCCTGGCCACTCATCTCCAGTTCCTGCAGAGGCTCCATCTTGCTTGGCACAATGGGTGCCACCGGGTGGCTCCTGGTGCTCTGCAAGCTCTGTTGGCCGGGGAGTGGTGGCAGCCTGTCCCCATGGAGGGATGAGGCCTGGCCCAGGCTATCCTCAGGAGCTGCATGTTGCTAGTAGCTCTTATACCTGCAGTAGCTGTCACTTACTTAGATGTAATAAAAATATCCTCAGAAATTTAAAATTTTACCTTTTCAGGGACTTTTATTCTTGTATCCATTGCTGGTGCGCACAGAACTCAGTTTAATAGGTTAAACTGACAGTTTTCTTGAAGAAAAATGAGAGAGGGGCATTTCTTGAGGAGTTTTTCCTCACTGTGGGGGAGAACTTCTTTACACTGAGGGTGGCAGAGCCCTGTAACTGGCTGCCCAGGGAGGTTGTTGATTCTCCCACTCTGGAAACATTCCAAAACCACCTGGATGCATTCATATGCAACTTACTCCAGATGACCCTGCCTTGGCAGGATGGTTGGACTAGATGATCTCCAGAGTTCCCTTCCAACCCTCATGATTCTGTGATTCTGTGTGACTGAAATCTTATCCTTCCAGGAGGTCCTTTTGCAAGAAATCCTGGTTTTCTTTCAATTGGCTGATGCCTTGAGAGAGTTGCTGCCTGGCCACATGGCATGGGCACCCTGGTTCACACTTGCTCAGCCCAGGCCATCCCCTCTCATGTTTCCTCTGCACTGCCCTAGTGCTTCCCTAAACAAACTCAGTTTCCAGGGTTTCACCCCTGTGTTGGCCAAGGACTTGCTTAGGAACAGCAGCACCCCACCTTCATTTTCTGCTTATGAGTCTCTTAGAGTTGGTCTCTCTCTGGCTGTGTTCAAGATAAACATGTTTTTCTCCTCCAGCACATAAACCCCATGTTAATTTACCTGGTGTGTGCTACAAGCTCCCCATGTGCAACAGTTCCACTAGAAAAAGTTGTTTGTGCTCCTTGACTGAGGTCTGGCCAGGCTTAGAGCCTGCTCTCTTACTCAGGTGGGGTCTTAGGAAGATCTGTACCAAGGGAAAGCCCTGACTTCTCCAGCGACCCAGCGCAGGCAGCTGCTCACACACAGACTCACACAAGGCTTCAGCAAGACAGGCAGTGAGAGGGATCAGGCCTCCCCTACCAGGAAGGTACTTCCATTGGCTGAGTTACAGCCTTCCCGACACACCTACAGTATGACCCCCATTACATGGTCATTCAGGGAAGGGTCCCCAGCATTTTCAAAATGGAGGTTATTGATCCTTTGCTGCTGATAGATCCCCTTGTTTCTGGGCAAACTGCACCTTTCTGTAACTGACAACTGAACTACCAGTAACTTGTCACTTCCCACCACCAAAAGCAACCACACTGCAAACTTTGCAAGAACATCTTTTTATTTATTCCTAATACTTGTTTTGGTGCAGCTGTACATGGCACAGTGGGGAGTCTGGCAGCGCTTGCTTCTGACTGTTCTGGGATAGGCTATGTTTGTATCATATTTTGTCAGACCAGAAACAAGGTCAAAGTTTGCAGAGCTTAACACACCCTTCAAGTACGTACAACCCCCAATGATAAGCCGCAGTTCGGTAGGTAATATAAACCACAATTGGGCAATTAGGGCTCTTGCTATGTTTTCATTAGAGGTGTGCACGATTTCTGCCAGATAGCATAAGTATTTAATTTCCTGCAGTCAAAGAGGAGGGTCCTAAGAGTAGAAGCAAAAATGCAGCCTCTTGCTGTGAAAGCTGTGTGTGGGATTAGCGCAAAACTTGAGTCCTTGCTGAGCCAGGGGCAGCTGGCCCAGTCACTTCACACGGGAGCGGCAGCCACTCAAGGAAGCAAAGTGCTGCTATTGCATGTCCACACAGGCAAGTGCAAGTCAATTGGTGGCAATTAAACAGAGCTGAAGTTTTACACCTTGGCTGCCCTATGAAAATATGTCACCTTTTCACACTCACTTGCAAACAATATGTGCTAACGAAATCCTAATAATACCTCTTCCTTTAGAGAGCTAAACATGTCCCTGTAATTCACAGAACAAGCATCAGTGTTGGGAAGTCAGGGTGCAATATGTATGCCATGAACAAATCACAGTGTCTTTAGTATTCAGCAGTACATTAATGGAGGACTTGGAGTGCTGGGTTTATGGCTCGACTCTATGATCTCAAAGGCATTTTCAACCTAAATGATACTTATGAGTGATCCGGATTCCTGTCAGATACGGACTTATGCCTCAGTTCATGCAACTTCAAATTGCTAAAGAAGGAACTGAATATCCATTTTATAATTGGGAAACTATTTGCAAGAGAAAGAGTAATTGTAACTCAGCTGTGTACCAGTACTAGTACAATCTGGACAAAGGGACTCTGTGCAAGTAATAGTCCAAATGTTATCTGTCTGGCAGAAGAAAACTCACTTCTAACTTTCCCCTTCTTTTCCTCAGAAGACAATTAAGAAGTGGAGGCAGACCCCAGGAAAGCTCTGTGCTTCTCCACAAGTTTTCTAAAATCCGAGGAGGTGTGTAGCACACACAGGATTTGCTGACAGCGAGTGTTTAACAGATGTTAGTCTTCTTCATAATTTAGAAATGAGATGCATTTCTTACCTGGCTTGTTTGAGGCTGCAGGAGGTGAAGGGCCTCAGATCCAAGACTTAAAAGGAAGGAACAGGAAAGCAGGGGAGAGGTAGCTGCCAGCTGCTGCCCCATCATCACCACACATGGTCAATACTGACAGGCCTGTGTCAGTATTGTTGAAATGAGCACCTTTTGGAAAAGATGGAAAAGCTTGCATATCTTTGGACATGAGACACATTGCACAAGTTCAGCAACAAACGAGGATGGCCTGAAGCCTTGAGGAGCAAAACGTAGGAAATTAATAGCAAGCTTTTCTATTAAGAACACAAATTTAAAGAATAACATAAAGGAATATAAATTCTTGTTAAGAAATCTCCACCCACTGTGCATACTATAGGAAATACAAGACTGGAGGATTTCTGTCACAATTTTATTTATTTATTTTTTTACAATGCCTGCTTCAATGAAAGATTGAAACAGCCAAACTAAAACAGACATAATATGCTCATACCATTTACAATATTTACATAATATACAAGTTTTCTTTTTTGCTCAGTGGGTAATTATAACAACTTGGGACAAAAGTGTGAGTGAAAAGAAGCACTGGTGTAAAAAGTTAGACTTTCCTGTTTCTGATGTTGCAATGCTTGAACTAACAGAAGTGGCAAGTGGGGTAAATGCTCTGTGTAGTAACCAAGCGTAGTTGTCACTTCATAGTGACAGGTCCTGCTCAGCTTTATTTACACCAAGCCTAAGCCAGCAGGAAGCTATTACTCTGTCTAGAAAATTGATGACTGAGTTCACAATTCATCCCTTCTTCATTTTAATATTGAAAAGCAGAACTGCAGTGTTGAATTTTCTATTGTGCACATAGATAGCAATTAATTTCAAATGTTTTTGTATTAAATACTAAAATATATTTTAACTTTCTTATTATACATGCTATAAAAGTACACTAAAAATTTCAAGTTTCTGAAGTAACAATTACCCTTCTATATATATATATATATATTCTCTATATAATTTTAAAATATTTAGATTTTTTTTAATACCCAGGATAAAGATATGCTAGCTCCAGTATGACTGCGTTTTATCATAATGTCTACCAAAGTCCCATACATAACCAAAGCCTCATCTAAAAGCTAGTTTTGCAGGTATTCTACTTTGGTCACCACCTCATTTTCCCTTCCCTTCTTTTTAAAGCACATTTCCAAAGGTAGCTGTGCTACCTTTTAACTTCAGGTTATGCCCTATCCTGAGTAAGAGCTGAATTTCAGTTCCCTCCAATTAACAAGCCAAGTCACACAGCCACTGATGGACAAGCAGCAGGTGGCATTTTTCACCTCTTGGAGTGTTCTTTCAATACAGTACTGCAATCTCCAGGTCAGACATAATTCAATTCTGTCAAATACCTGACATCAACAGGAATTGCTTTAGGCCTGGATTTTGTTCAATGTACATGGGTGCTTTTCCATACACAAGCTGTACACATGGTACCATGGCTCAAGAGCAAAACAGAGTGCACGGTGGTCTCAGCTACATGGTGTTCAACAAAAAGCAGTTTGCATTTTATAGATATGGCTTATGACCCACCCAAGTGATTTTTTCCATGGTTGCATCCTCAAGTAGCACCAACCTTTTAAAATTTTAATCATTAATATATATACATACATCTTTTAATAATTTATATGTACACACACACACACACACACAGATGTGGCCTCAGTACGTTCACCGCAGGAGAAAATTATTTACAGTGAGTTGGAAAAATGAAATTGTATCAAGTTACAGTATATGAAAACAAAATTGGCATTTGTGCTTTTTCTTTGTACAGGAGTAATTTTTGTCATTTCAAAAAGGGTTCATATTTTTATTTGCATCAAGACATGTCACATGATGAAAAACGTTATAAAACAACCAGGATTGAGAATTATAGAGCATTAATGCTCCTCATATACCCCCCTAAGTCAACCAAATAACTACTTTCTATAAAAATTCTCCATTCAAACCCCTCTGTGGTTACTCAAGCTTGCTTGAGGATCTTCTTAATAAATGATAACA